TGATTACAGTAGAGAGGGTGTTTACAAAAATCAGCATGTAATTTAAATTTCATATTCAAAATCTGCTATTAGCCTTGCTCTTTGTTATGCTACCAGCTTTGCGAGATATATTGGTTAAAATTTACCAGGAGAAAAGTTGAAACAAATTTGTTGCTTGTACATCATCATCATCATCGTCTTTCAGTTGCTGAAAACATTTGGGTAACTAGAAATTGTACACACTACAGAGCAACAGAGAATATGGCTTTTGGGTAATAGTGGTCAAAGCTATGATGCTCTAGAATTTATATGGGTTGGATTCATAAGACAGTTTTCAGAACTTAATACAAATTCATAGGTGATGCTAACAACACTATTAATGATGCTGTAACTCTGAAATTCAGAACAAGGTCACTGTGAGCCTTTAATAAGACCATCTCCTTAATGCAAGCCTAATTATTTCTCTATGGAACAGTCTGTGATAATAATCATCATGCTTTTCTATGGAAAAGAAAGGGAGTATGCAGGTGTTGAATTAATATTTAGTAGCCAGAAATGCCACAGAAACAAAATCAGATACTTTAGATATGTTTTGTATTGATTTCCTGCCTACTAGATAACAGCAAGCATTTTTACATGCTATTTTATGTCATTCATTATTTAAATGACTTGATGTTATTGTTGTTGGCATAACTATACAAATAGAAACTCAAGGGCAAGTGCTTGATTTTTTTTCTTGATATTAACAAATAGAGATTTAGCAAAATGAGAAGACTTATGCAACCAGTAGATGATACTTTCTCAAACAATTTTTCTTGTGATAAAATTGCTGAGATTTGATACTCCTTCTGCAATGTATGATTCAAAGTTGCTTTCTGTTAAAATCAAACATTGGAATCGTTTGTGATACCTGGTAAAATTGAAAGTTCCATTGTATTTTAAATTTCTGTAGTTCTGTCTGACCACATGTGACTAGGAACCGTTGCTAAAAATCTCTGCCTTTCATCAAGTCCATGTGCCAAGTCATTATTACATGGACACATCTTTACTAAGGGGAAAGAGTCCAAAAATACAAATAAGACCTAAGTGAGTTAGAAAGTGGATGGTGAGTTTGGGGTTTTTTTCAGGAACCTCTTCATAAGTCCTCTGATAAATCTGTGTCATAGCAAGTTTCTTTTTTTTACATCTTAACCAGTAATTCCAGTGTGTTGACTGAAAATAATAGTTATACTAGTTACACTGCAACTTTAGTTTGCATATTCTTCATAAAAAATTCAAATGAACTTAAGGATAGGAATTAATTAGCCAAATACATAATATCATGGGCCCACTATTCTTACCTGATTAAAACTGTAATTTATGGAGTTAATATTAAGATAGAGGAGCAAAGTTTTGTGTTTCTAAAGATCTATAATATGTTGCTACTACATGGTAACTTAAAGCAAGACTCCAGAAATGTTTTTTTTTTTTAACTTTTTACTTCAAAGAAGTCTTATTTCAAGTGAGCTGAAGTTGTGACTTCTTATGTGTGGACTTGTATTTTCAACTGTATTACACTGTTTGCATTACACTAAAACACTGTGGACTACAATAGAAAAATAAATTCTTTTGACACACTCAGGAAGTTTTATCTGTGCTCATGAGGTTTCTCAAAAAGCAAAACATTTATGTAAATGTATTAAGTAGTGACAGCTTTAAACAACAGTTCTGACATTATGCAGTGAAATATCTCAGTGGAGAAGTAAGACACATACACAGTTCTGTTAACTATCAACTTCATTTTCAAAACTAGTAAGTTGTGCCAGGAAGCATATTAATTAGACAAGCTTCTAGCAATGCCACAAAAGTATATTTTTAACTTTATTGGGATTTTACACTTCAAATAAATGCATTTCTACTATATCTTTTGGATCTCTATACATGAGACATAATAATTTTATGCCATGTGTGTCAATGTACAGGGTCCTAACTTGCCAGACACTGAATCCATCATCTGAAATGCACATATGCCTCCTTATTTACTTCCTAATTTCTCTGCTGCATGCATTTACCTGATGACTCTGCAAGTCTGGGGCTGTGCATCCTAGGGGTTATTCAAAGGCAATAATATGCTGCAAAACAATGCTGAGGGACTATTTTTCCCTTCAAAATCTACTCATACCTGGATTTCCTGATATTAGTGATAGGAGTTAAGTTTACTCCTTTTATTCTCACAATTTGATACAGTTAAGGTATAGTGATAGTTACTGGATGTTAGGTAGGGGACAGATTCATTTCTTGTTTCCACATCACTAAGACTATAAAATTACCTGTCACTACTATGAAAATTTGTTGAAAGGAACAGTGTTGAGCTGATATTTCTTAGGCATATTTGCAAGACGAAGAAATTATAAAATCTAAACAATTGCCTACCTTTGCTTAATTAATGATACACAGAAGAAAGAACTATGCATTCAAGAGCTAGTTTGTAATGTTACTATTGTAATATAAATTGAAATAAGTTAATGTACAGGACCATGTTACAAAAATATATTGCCTCTTCCATTGCCTCCTGGTACTTTTGTTGTAAATATGAACCTTCAGAAGGAGGTATGTAAAGTCACTTACCTGAGTCTGGCTTTGTTTTAATGTGGTCTCAATGACCTGGAAGGCAGGGCCTTTGGCTGCAGACTGCTCTATTCTAGCCAAAGAACAGCTTTGCAAGCCCTCTTGGGAATTCCACCACGTTTCAAGTGCAGTAGTCCTCTCATGCCTCAAATTTTTGGCAACAGGCATAATCAGCCTATCTGAGGAATAGAGGTCTCCTTGGAACGAGCTGATTGCTGTGTGTATGTCCAGCAGTCCTGACCTACACCAATGCATGTCCTGGTTGCATGCCCACTTCTGTGTCGTCCATCTTCTTGTGGCTGCTTGGGAAGGGGGCAGCTGTAAGTAGTCAGCAATCTCCCAGAGCTGGTTGTCAGCTTTATCAGCTTCCAGATGACAACATTTTTGGGAAAGACAGCAGTGGAGAGTGAGTCACAGGCTTAATGAAGCAGCCTGCTTGGTCACCATCCTCTTTGAGATACTTGAAATTAAAAGGGTCATTTGTCAAATGAGTTAAACTCCAAGGAGATCCTTGACAGTTATTGCCCATAATGATGCTGCTCTTGTCACCATTACTATTGTGGGTCCAGTGGAGATCAGATACAGCAGAGGAGTGAGGAAGAGGGAAATTCATTCTTGTGAAGATGCACAGATGACCAGGAATTTGCACTTCTGCAAGTGGAAACCTGAGGATATGCCCCACGCAAGACTTGTTGTGAGATCTCCATCAGTAGCCCTCACTAAGACAATACTCCAGCCAGCATGAGCACAACAGTGTAATGTTTTACTTCCCTCATGAGCTATAACAACTCTCTCTCTCTCACACACACACACACACACACACTCCTCCTTTGGCTTTTCTTCATCCCCACGTGGGCCTGCAGGCTCAGCAGCTGGTCGCTATGGCCCCGCATGCTCAGGAGCCCTCCCTGGTGAGCAGGGCTGTCCCGCAGGGGGGAAGGCTCTGCTGACACCCCTGGGCAGCTGCTGTGTGAGTTTGCTCCCAAAGCAGCAGCAGTACGGTCACGTTGGTGTGTCAAGCACCTCCCCTAGATAGTTCCTCTGAGGTGACTTCTTCATAATTATGTCTCCATAATTATTTCCTTCTCCAGTGTGATGTAGGGAGGTACACACTGCCCCAGATGCCATGGGAGGAGTTCTGTGTTACCTGCTACTGCTGTGTGCCTGGCACTTGGGAAAAGCCTGGAATGACAGGGAGAGGGAGGGCAGGAAAAGGACCTAAAGGTGTGTTCCTTCAACACCTCCTGCTTGACAGTCGAGCCCTGCTTTTACCATGGTCAAGTGTCACAGGGGACCAAGTTAGAGGGTGAATCAAACTCTATATTTAGGAAGAACAACTGGAAGCTATGACAGGAATTCCCTTTTACACTTCGCTTCTCTGCTGAGTCCCACTCCAGCCTGGAGCAGCACTCAGTGCCGTCCAGGCTGAAAGCATCGGAGCTATTTCAGACACATTAAAAGGGTCACAGTCAATACCTCAGCTGGTAGAAGAAGGTACCTCTTTCATCATCAAAAGGAGGTGTGCATACTCACTTGACGGTTTGGAACTTTTTTTATATAAGTAAATAAGTTAGCTAACCTTGAAGGGGTCAACTAAAATCGTGAAAGACCCTCAAGAGAACTCTTTACGAATTGCTGTGAGTTTACTGCAGTAGTTGTGGGTTTCTACCTATTTTAATGTCTCATGCAGTGTATCAGAGTATTCAGAGCAGAACGCTATTGCTTCATAGTCCGTGAGGATCTAAACATTAAAATAAAAAGTCACTTAAATACCTCATGACTCATAAGTGTCTATGAGCCTGAATATTGTAATACATAGACAGGTTATTGTTTTCTGTTTGTTTATTATAGTTAATGAAATATTACATTATGGTTTTGATGTAAGTAAGGTTTCTTTCACTAAGCTTAATAGGCAACTGTAGAAAAGATTATTGTGTATGTATTATGGAAAATGTGACCACATCTGCCTAGAGCTTGTAGTAAGTTTTCATGTAACAGGCTGAAAGCTGCCGAGTAGGGGTTTCTCTTCTTTCATTGTACTGGTTGGGTCTCACAGTCGTTCAGCTCCTGTCGAAGTCTTTTAATAAGATAATGCACTGCAGTTCTGTCTCCAAAATGCCTGTTGTGCTTGATGCTGTGCATGCAGTGGGGGGAGAGGACAGCTTCCAGCTGGGGCAGGGGGAGGGCTCTTGCTGTTGTCTGTGTGCTACTGTGCATCTCTTGTGTGCATTACAAAAGATGGCATTATGATATCTCATTGTATTTAAAGCAAATTTAATAAATCAGCTTATTATCTTGCTGCATCCCTGTCAGTAATTATTTCAGCAGAGAAACAGAAGATGATAGGTTCCTTTGTTTTACAAAGTTTCGCTTCAAAACACTCATTTATTTCACTGCAGCTGTCCTATATTTCACAAGTAGTCCTGCCTGTGAGTACTTTCACTGCAAAGCAAGGGAATTTGCAAGGGAAGGCTGCCCTAAACCAGCTCCAAACTGAATTAGCATTGCCACTGCTTTCTAAGTTTGGCTCAGCATGCAGCCCATAAAAGGTAAAAGGTAAGGTGTGTGGGGAGGCCAAAAAGGCACCGGGGAATAGAGGCAGCGTGTCTGCTTTTTTCTGCCTGTCCGAGATGTGAAATCCTGCTGTGGAAATGAGGGTGAAGTGGGATTTTTTTCAAGTTTGCAGAGCTGATTGGAATACCAGAAATAACTTAATACAATCAGTGCAGCACTCTTGACTCTCTCTCTGAGATACAAGGTGAAAGAAAAAAGGAATTTCTAGAAATTAACTAATCACTTCTGTAATGGATACTTCTGTAAGCTAAGGTTTATTTTCCTATGATTGATGGTCAGTATTGCTCTGTAAGGAAATTCAGGGAAGGGAGGGAAGGGGAAAGAGCCAGAGATCTATTTTTACTCAGTGGTGTGCTGTTGTCCTGATTTCTCTGGCGGTAATGAGGACAGCACGGTCTGGTAGGAAAATCACCTCCTCCAAAAGCAGTCCTACACAATTGTATCATGCATCCCTCTTTAGGAACCGGTGTCTGATTGCAGTAATTTCCAACACTGGCTGCTTGTGAACCCAGAGCACCTCGCTGAGGAGCACTAATGCTGTGCTTGTTGCAAAGCTGAGGTTCAGGGTAAATCCTTCCCATTTATCTCTAAGTGGCCCAAGAGGTGTGTATGGGTGTTTTTGCAATGCACAGGCATGCAAGATGAAGTACATCTTAGCAAGAATTTCTTTGTGACAGTGTTTGGGAAGTAGATCCACTATGTTTCAAAATATTTAATGCTATTTAAACATTTTTAAATGTGCTTTTGTTTCTATTTTTCATTCTGATTAGAAAGATGAGAAGTTGATTAAAAATTAATTAAACATTCTATATTATGACTCCTATCTTCCCAGTCAGTTGGGAGATTGTTGTGTGTTTATTTTAGAATACAGTCACTGATCAATGGAACAGTTATTTATATGCCTAGTAAAGGTTTTAAAAAATAAAGGAGACAGAGTGTAGTAAATCCTTTTGTGTTTTTGAAATCTGAATTTTGTCTTGAATGTCATTTGCTGAGATTGCATCCCCTGAAGTGAATTATGAAGTTTTTTAAACTCCCTCTCATTTTAAGATTGTATATATAAAATCACAATATAAAGTTCATTAAAGGAATGCTGGTTTTATTTTGCACAGTGGGATTCTTTCTGATTTATGAATTTAGTGGAAGCAATTTAAACCCAAACAATTTATGAACATGATTGTCCTCTGAATGCTGTGTTGGTTTAGACACCACTTTTTGCAGCTCGGAGTGTGACTAGAGGGAGACCTCTAATGGCAGGTCATTTGTATTTTTGATTCTGTTCAGCATCATACACAGATTTAAAACTGATGTGAGAATATGCAGGAGGAAGTCTTCTAGTCAGTCCCAGCAATACAAATTCAGGCTGATATTGCTGACATTCCAAGTGGAAGCCAACCTACAACTCATTTGTATGTTTTTTGGGGGACTGCCTCATGTGGCAGTTATACTCTTTGAGGTACCCAAGTCTTCACACACTTTTAATTTCTTGGTGTATTTCTACTGTTGTCTCCTTTGTAATTTATTTCTGTTGTCATTACTTCCCTTCCTATCTAAGATTAAATACAGTATCAAAAATGTGCTGTAGTTCATTGGTGATCAGTGACTCTCTCCTGGTGAATTAATTTCTCAGCTTTTAGAATTACTGCCTTACTTTATATTATGATAGTTAAATAACAAGGCTTTGATGAAAGTCTACTCCAGTAAAAATCTAACTTCTCCCTATTCAGTTAGAGAATAAAAGGCTGAGATGGCATTTCAAATAATCAGCTAATAAAAATTTATTTTACTTTGATATGTTCCCCTTTGCTATTTTATATTAATACTGTATCAGTCCATATCTCTCCACTTGCATAAAGTTATATGGAAAATTATGTAATTTTGGATCTCATTGCTAAAGAAAATTGATGAATCTGTATGATTTAAAACTTTGAAGGGAGGCTACTTTGTGCTCTAGCAACTGTCAAGGAGAACTTTTCTGCTTGACCATCTTGATCACTTTCAGTCCACAGGCATTAAAGATTTGCAAGGATTGAGAAAGAAAATGGTTATGTCTGCATTTATCAATATTTTCTAACAAGTTACATTTTATTTGAGAGAAGGCTTAAACTGAAAGTTCTTATAATACCCACATACATACTGTGACTGGGCTAATCATATACTGCTTGTCCTCAAATCTTCCTTTAATTCTTACTCATTTTACAGTTCTGTTAAGGTTTGAGAGATTCCTTATCTCTACTCATTATTATTTTTAATGTGAAAGAGATAGCTTCATTTGTGGCTATGAAAGATTAATTGGTGAAGCTCAAGTGTTCTGTCTCCTCCTGATATCAGAAGGAATAACTAAACAGCTTGGAAACTGAGATGGAAACAGGAGCTGGGCAGATGAAATGGATGCCTGTCAAGAGGCAGCATGGGTTAAGTTCTAGCTTATCTTCCATAGCTATCAGAATGTCAGAGCCTGTAACACTTTCCAATTTTGCTTGCAGGGATAAGCCTCTGTTGTAAAAATGTCACAACAACCAGCATCACATGTCAAAGCCATTCAGGTAAGAGACAGCATTTATGTTTTTAATATAATAAAATAATAAATCTCATCTTCCATTGCTTTGCAGACTGCATTTTTACTCAGACAAAGCACCATGGTAGTGCTAGCTGGGGTTATTCTGTTAAAGTGAAAAGCTTAGTAGATATGAAAGCACTGAAAAAGTGTGACCTGGAGATCATCTTTTGATCTGAGCTGACAAAAAAAAAAACTGGATCAGATAGGTTCATTAATCACTTGTTTGCATGGTCTTTGCAGTGTTAGGTTATGTCTACTGGAGGATCATCCAAGCAAAATATGGTAATGCATCTGCATAACTGTTAAGTAAAAGTAATTCCTGCAACTATTAGATTTTCCACAAAGCCAATATAATGTTGGGAGAATTAGAAGCTAAAAAGATAGCATGGGTGTTGTGAAGATTTTCATGTCTGCATTCTTAAGGAGAAAAACCTTCAAGTCCAAATAACTGTTTAAGAAGCATTTATTTAGAAGCCAAAGGAAAATGAGAGAAACGTTGATATTTAATTTGAAAGATTCTTGTCTGCCACATACCTCTTCAATGATATATTGAAGGATGATGGAGTTGATTGTTGCATACTTGTAGCTTATAAGGATAGAATGGATTGTTGCATAATTGTAAAAGAAACAGCTGGAGAATTATCCCAACATCATCATGAAGTAAGGTCATGAAGTACATGTTTAGTTTATGTTATCAATAGTTCTTATCAAAAGGCCAAATATCTTCTGAACTGAAGAATCTTACAGAATTCTCATGTATTTTGTAAAATGCACTTCCAATGAAATTTTACTACAAGTTCAAGTTGCCTTACCTAAGAAACACAAAATGGAATTTCTGAAGTCTTTTTTGTTCTGTTTTCTTGAGATAATACTAATGCAATGGATTGGAATATCGGGATTAATTAGCCAGGGGCTAGGCAGCATACTGAAAATGTAAGGCACTGTGAAAATGCAGATTCTTTTTATCATCATCATCATCATCATCATCATCATCATCATCATCATCATCATCATCAATTCTGCCGAAATAGGCATGCAAAATACTGTACTCTAATTCTGTTGAAATTAGGGAAAAAAAAAGCAATTTTGCCAGACTTTTGATTTCACTCAGTTCAAATTTTAATCCCTCTTTTACAGTGACTATAGAAATGTTTGTAGGATTAATGAAAAAATATGGCTCTTTAATAGCTGAAAAGTATTAATTTATATTTTTCATTTAAATTCTGTAGGTACATACATACATTTCTAAGGAATTATTTGGTTTACATTTTTTTCTTAGAGATGTAATGCTAGGCTGCATTTTATTTCTAGGATGGCTTCCAACTTCTAAATATAAACAATGCTCCTAGGTTGTTCATTTTAAAAATGCATTAAATTTAGGCACTAGGTGTAATATTTTAATAAACTTTAGTTTTTGCAAACGTAATTTGAATTGTGAGAAAAATTACAGCAAAAAATTAAAATATATCTATTAAGCATTGTGTCATAGGTGGTTCTAGCAGGGAGACTTGCACTTGAATTGATGCTTGTTATGCTTTGAGCAGTCTAAGAACTATGACTCAAAATGTCACATTACTTTTATACATTGTGATTCATATCTTATGATCCTTTGCTATTGTGTGCTGGTATAATAGGACTGATGTGCCCTGGGGAATGCACATCATGCTGCAGCAATGGGAATGTAATGGCACCTCACTAACTGAAGTGTTTCGTGGTGTTCTGTGTCTGAAATGGTTTTTTCTCACTGTACTAGATATAGACAAAAATGTTCACTTCCCAATAGCTACTAAATACAGATGCGTGAGAGGCAGCAACTGGTTCCCAAGAGCAGTTTGGGGCAAAAGTATGTTAATTGCTGGAAACAATTGCTGACCTCCCCTTCTCAGTGTGTTAAAGGCTGTGAAAAGCTCTGACTGGAAATTATTTTAACTTTAAACATTCTTGGTTTCGCCCAGAGGTAAGGGTGAGGAGGTTTCTAGGGTTTTTGATTGTTGTTGGTTTTTGTTGTTTTTTGGTTTCTGGATTGAATTCCATTTTCTCTATAGCTTCTGTTTCTTTCTTTCTTTCTTTTCTTTCTTTCTTTCTTTCTTTCTTTCTTTCTTTCTTTCTTTCTTTCTTTCTTTCTTTCTTTCTTTCTTTCTTTCTTTCTTTCTTTCTTTCTTT